GGCAAGTAGGGCCTAGGACAGATACTATGTCAATTTATAATTCATGGTTCCCAAAACTTCGTCTTAGCATTTGTCATTCTGTTTTTATAATCCTTGCTTACTCCTCTAAAAATCCTTGCTTACTCCTCTTACTCTCCCCTGCTTCCCTGTGAAGCAGAATTTCATAAATTGTCTCAAGCAGATGTTGAATAAGGTATCACTGGACTGTGACCTCCCTGAGGAATATGTTGAGTTCATTGTTCTATCTTCAGTGTTTAGAACAACGGCTGGCATATAAAGCATACTAGTTAATAGTTGGTGAATGAATGAATATTTGTCACATTAAGCTTCCAAGATTGTCCCATGTTACCCTCAACTACCTGAATTCTCACATTGAATCAGGGCTGGTCTGGGTGACCAACCGGGTGTGATGGAGGTGGCTATGTAACTTCCAAGTCTCAGTTATAAAGTTTCCACTGTGGTTCTTTGTAGTGCTGGTGTGGGGGAAGCTGACTGCTTTGTCATGAAGACACTCCAGTGGTCCTTGCGGAGAGGTCCAGGAGAGGAGCTGCACCCTCCTGCCAAAAAGCAGCACCAACTTGCCAGCCATATGAATAAACCACTGGGAAATGGATCCACTAAAGTGCTAGGTGACTGAGACCTCACAAAAGACTCCAAGCCAAAGCCACTCAGCCAAGTCACACCTAAAATTCTAACCCCAGAAACTGAGAGAAAACTCCTTGTCATTTTAAGATACTAAGTTTTGGGGCAAAATGTTATTATATTATGCTACAATAATTACTAAACTATTGACTTACAAAAAAGCAACTGCACAATGAAATACATTGGGGAAACACTGGCTTACACAGTAGCTAAACAAAGATTTATTTACTTGAGGATTCCTCAAGTCGTCTAATATATGAATGCTCTCCAAAAATCCTCATCTTCTTTAATGGCTCACTCTTTTTTTCATCTTGCTAATTTCTGTTTAGAAATGTAGTTTGAAAAAATAAACCTACAATCAACCAACATCTCAAAGAAAATAATGTCAAGATTATGGAAAGACAGCAGGCAAAGGAAGATCTCCTGAGGAGCTGGTCTTAAAATTCATACTCTTCCCTCCTCCCGTCTCCTTTGCCATAAGTCATGGCTGCAACTGTCATACTGAGGTCGACAATGCTTTCTCCTTCCCCACTTGGGCCCAGCCATAGGCATCTCTACCTAACTGACATTGGAATGATTGATATAACACTTTGCAAGACATTCACGACATGCTGAGTACCTATAAATATGACCTTATTTAGAAACAGGATGCTTGGAGATGCATTCATGTTAAGATGAAGCCAAGCTGCATTAGGGCCTTAAGCCCAATGAGCAGAGAGAAAGAGACGCGGATGCAGAGACACAGAAGACATAGGGCAGGGCACCATGTGACATTAGAAGCAGAGATTTGATTGATGGCTTTACAAGCCAAGAAACACAAAAGTTTGCCAACAATCATCAAAAGCTGGGATACAGGCAGAGAACAGATTCTCTCTCAGGACATCCAGCAGAAACTCACCCAGCCAACAACTTGGTTTCATACTTCTCGTGTCCTGAATTGAGACAATAAATTTATTTGTTTAATCCATCCAGTGTATAGTGCTTTGATAGGGCAGCCCTAGGAAGTGAAGACACTTAGAAAAGACTAAAAGCAACCCCATAGAATATAAAAGTGCACTGGCTCCCAGCCATTAAAATGGCACCTTGCCTAACCTTGGTCCCCAGATTCTTGCCTTGAAGTGGAGCAGACTGCTTAGATACACTGAGGCTTAACTAGATTCCTCAGAGGAAACATAGAGAGACACTCCATCTCTACCCAAAGACTGCACAACAAACCTATATTCTGGATACCCTTTATCTCAAGAAACTGACTTTAGGGATATCTGGTTATTTCAGAGCACATCTTATTCCTCACTATTGAACAAATTATCTCCAAACACAATCATCTCCCATCACTATACAGAAGCAAAGGGAGAGGGCAGATTAAGTGCCCCTTCTCTGAGATCGCAAAGTCCCGAGTACTGACCTGATATTACATGTCATTCTGAAAGTGTCTTTTAAACTTTAAGTTCCTACAGGAAATGAATTGTATTTGTCTCACCACCACTGTGTCCCTAGTACCTTCACAGGGGTTGATACATAGCAAAAGCTCGATAAAGATTGATGGATTAGGCATCTAGGGCCCAGGTAGGTTTGGGTGACACAGCAAAGGTCACACACATGGTTGACCAAGCCCCCTACCATCTCGGAGGCTCAGAGTTGTAGCCAGAGAAGACTGCACAAGTTCCACAAACAGCTGCAGGATGTTATGTCTGAATAACAAAACAGAGTCTGGTGAGGAATGTGTGTGCTCTTCCTTTCCCCCAATTTCACTTTTTCAGATGATCCTCCACCTATGGATGCCCAGATAAGATTTGGAGAAGGGCACAAAGAAGTTATGTTAAAGTCTGACACTTAACTGGCAGATGACTTTAGTTTTCAAACTTTCCTGTGTTGAACAATCACCTAGTGTTTTAGAATGAAGATGCCTGAGCTCCACCCACCAAGCATCCAACAGTGCAGATGAGAAGGCACCCAGGAGTCTGCATTAAAAATGAAAAACAACTTCCCAACAAGTCTCCCCAGTACTTCAAGTGCAAATAATCCTCAGAAGACACTTTTGAGCAACCCCAGCCAAGAGGTCTTCCCTGGTTCCAGGTGGAGACCCAGGCTTCTTCTCTCTTGAACTACAGTATCAGAGAGGGTTTCTGGGAAAAGACAGTGTTTATAAAGTGCCAGGATGACAACAGGCAAAGGCCCTAGAAGGCAGCCCACATCTACTGAACTGAAATGTCAGGCTTGTACAGTGTGGGCCCAGAGGCAGATCAAGCCCCTGGCAGAGGAGTCACAAGGAAGTAGATGTAGGAACAAAGTGAGGGGAAAAAATTACGATGGATCTACTGTATCATTTCCAACTGAAGACCTAATGTCTAATAGGAGAGCTCCCAGCACCCATGGATAACTACATTCCCTAGCAGGCTAAACATCCTTCAGAATCCAGCCTTGCCTCCCTCTCCAGGTATTCCTTACAAATGCCCACTCCAGAACTTAACCTGCCTCCCCAGCCCATTTCATTTTCAAAGCATGTCAGGCCCTTGACATGTCAGCCTTCCCCACCTGCCTCACCCTCCAGGACTTTGCCTACTCTGGTCACTTTGCCTGGCCTGTCTTTTCCCTAGTCTTAGCCTAATCAACTCCTAGTCATTCTGCAGGTCATAATTTAGAAGTCATTGAACCTCCACTATACCTGGGTAAAGTGCCTGTGTTCTGTTCCCTCTACGTCCTGTAGGAGAATGGTTCACTGACACTTCCCTTCCAAGATGGGATAGTATCCTCTATATAGGAAATATTTACTGAGTTGAGTTATTGAACTAGAATGAGCTTTCATACTGTAGCCCCATGAGATGAAGAAGGGGTTGGCGATTAGTAGCTGCTCAATAAGTGTTTCATAATGAACGAAAGGCAGTGCCCTCACAGAAAACTAAATGGTTCCTCATTGTGACAACTTTTCATTCTCACAGAGACTGACACACCCTGTCGGAAATCTTGAGAGAGGGTGGAGATTAAGAACGCTAGATGTGACACTCATGCCCTCTGACATGATGATTATGTGGTAAGGACTCTGGCCAGAGGCAGGAAGAGACCTTTGAAAAGCCACCAGGGCTTAGTGAGCCAGTCACATGATGTCATTTGGGTTTGCATCAGTTTGTCAGGGAAATAAGGAATTGTACTGCAAGGCAGCAACAGGACAGGGGATCACCCGGATTCTCTCGTCCTCCAATCCACAGCCAGCTTCTGTCACACTCACCTGTATGCTCCTGGAACTTGCCAGGACCATCTGGATCACTGGGCATAGTGAAGCGCCAGATGCCTTAACGTGAGCGTTTCCCCAGTACTGGTTCTGAGTCCTCTGCTCACAATCCCCTGCAGTGGAACTACGCAGTCAAGCTAGCAGTGCTCCGTGCCTACTGTCTGGGCCAGGCTCTAGGTGAGCAGATACAGTCTGACTTTATAGAACTCACCAGCCAACAAGACAGAACAGAGCAGCTTTCTGGCCTGGGCCAGTGGATAGCTGCGTGCGTACCAGCAGGGGTGTCTCTAGAGGACAAGTCAAGAACCCATAAGACATTTTGGGCCTCAGAGCTGCTAGGGAGGCTGTTTGGCTTCCGATAGTCACCCATGAAGCACAAAGCGTTCCAGGGTGTCTTCCAAGGGAAAAAGACTCCAGAGTGTGCACTGATGCTCACCGGCTCTTCGTCATCCCCTCCCTCACTTCAAGGAATGAGCCTCAGGGCCTACGCATCCTGCATCAGGGCCTGAGAATGTGAGCCTGCAGCTGGGGGCAGGAGACCAGAAGTGTACCAGCCATCTGCTGCAGATTAGCCATGTGACCCTGAACAAGCCCTTGTCTGTGTGTGTGTGTGTGTGTGTGTGTGTGTGTGTGTGTGTGTGTGTTTTACCGGGAATTGAACTCCTAACCTTGAGCTTGCCAGGCAGGTTCTCTGCCACTGAGCTATATCCCCAGCTCTCTTTCCAACTTTCTGAACCTAGATGCTTCTTCCGTAAATGAGAGTAACTAGTCTAATGTTTCCCCACCTTGTTTATGAATCAGATTCATTGGTGGTGGAAGCAGGACAAAGAAATCTGAAAAAACAAAGATTACCGGGCCCCATCCCCAAGTTCTTTTCTGAACACCAGAAAAGAGAGAATGGAGAAGGCTACTCAAGTCCTAGCCCTCAACTATGGCCTCAGGGAGGACCCCCTAGACCACCTTCATGCTCCCCAGTGCCCCTTCACTGAGAAGCTCCTTGGGCTGCCTTGTGCCCAGCCACACTTTCTCTCTCCAACTCCCCAGCCTCCTTGGTCCAGGGCAGGAGTAAACTGTACCACCCCTCTCTCCAAAGAGCTCTGGAGCCAGAAGTACTAGTCAGTGACCAATTTATTGCCCACCAAGTTGTCCCCAGCCTCCCAGCACCATAGCCTGCACACAGTCTGGACACTGTCTTCACCCTGGTCAGTTCTGGCACTGGGCCTCAGTCTCTACCCCCATCCCCTCTCTTCTATACTCTCCCTCCCCTGGCCCTTCAAAGCAGCACCGAGCCTGGGGACCACATCTCAGTTGGGGGAATACAGGGGGACAGGAAGACAAACAGAAGCTGAGAAAAGAAAAACCAGAGTTGGCCCCAAGTTTCTGGAGCTTGCACCCCAGGAAGGAGCCCCAGTAGGCAAGGTTGAGGCTAGGGCCAAGTTGCCAGGCAGCAGTTCAGGCAGGAGGCTCTTCTCCAGGAGGGGCAGGAAAGCCACTCAGGTCACGGACAATGATCTCACTCACTGTAAAGGAGGAGCAGTTGAAAGACTGGGCCAAGAGCAGATCCCCTCCTTTCCCCACCACCTCCAATTCATTCCAAGCAAAACTTGATCTGTGTTACCTCTTGGCTTCTCTTCCACTGAGCCTCATTTTCCCTACAGAGCCTTGACCTCTGCTCCTAACTAAACCTTGCCCAATTTCATCCATGTGGGCCCCACGGCCCCCACCCCACCCTGCTCTTCCTGGTTGGGCCTATAGCAATAAGGCAATCAAGATGAGATGGATCAAATGTGGGGGTAGCCACTGTGAACAAGAAGAGGCAAAACTGGAAAGCTTTTCATCAACAATGCTGACCACAGCCACTATGCTGAGGGGACACTAAGGCAAGGGAAACTGTGTATGACTAGGGACCTCAGTAAGCCACTGGCCTGCTCCAAAACTCAATGTTTGGATCTGCAAATTCAGGGAGCTGGGTGCAGTGACTCTGACAGTGCTTCTAACTCTGAGATTTTGTGATCTGAGCAGAGGGCAGAGGCCACAGAAAGGCTGGGGCAGCTACCCCAAGCAGCCTTCCAAATTAACTCAGGTGATCACAGGCACCAGGACTCTCCAACTAGCCCTGAGAAGCCAAGGCTGCCCAGCCTCTGAGAAGCCAAGATCTAGTTCTCAGCACATGTGCAGAGTATGCTCTCGCACCCACTCACATGCACAGCCCCAGTCCACACCCACCTTCTTCTAGCGTGATGCCCTGGATAGGGACACTGTCTCGGAAGCCGCTGCTGTAGCCACCCCTGGGTTTCTCCTGCTCTGGGGCCCCTGGGGAGGGGTCCCCAGGACCATAGCCAGGCCCCATCTCATTGAATCCCTCAGCAGGTAAGGGAGGAACACTACTCTGGGCAGGGAAGGGGCCTTCGAGTGGTGGGGATGACGGTAGTGGAGATCGAAAGGGGGCTGGAGGAGGGAATGGAAGCCCTAGTGGAAAAGAGGAGCCTCGTCCTCCATACAGGTCATTAGGGAATGGGCGGGGAAGGAAGGAGACTGGAGGTGGACGGGCACAACCTGTGGTATCCCCGGATTCAGAGAACATACGCAGGCCTGGTCTGTAGGATGGTGGGGGGCCCGTCTGGGGATATAGAGGGGGTGTGCCATAGCCAAAGCCTTCTGACAGGTAAGGAGTTTCATAAGCAGGGTCTTCATTAGGATAGGAGGGGTAGGGGGGCCTGGGCGGTGAGAAGTCCATATCAGTGCCAAAGGGGGATCCTGAAGCTGAAGGGAAGCCCCGGAGAGATGAGTCAAGTAGGGGCTCCTCCTTGAAGATCACTGAGAAGATGGGAAAATCAGAGGACACAGTGGTAAGAGGCTGTCAGTGCTCCCACTGCACATTTCCCTTCCCATGTTCTCCATCCCTGTGCCCCTCACGATGGGGCATTGAATCCATCCACCCTGCCCATACTCCACCCCCACCACAGGCGCACCAGGCAGGAACTTGAAACTCTGGGTAGGACTGCGCTTTCTCCGCCCATTGGAAACATAAAAGTAGACCTGCACTGGCCGGGACACTCGCTTGTTACTGTACTCAGGGACAGTCAGGGTCAGCGTCACCTGGAGAAAAGCAAAAGGTGACACAGGGAGCCTTCAAAGAGTAGAGGTCACCCCAGACCTTCCCCAGACCCACACTTGACCTCCTAACTTTTTCCATTCACTAAAGAGTAAAGTTCCTTAGTGAAATGCTTCCAGAGTAGCGGACTCCTCCAGGAAAGACTAGATAGGTCTGGAATTCACTCCCACAGGCAAGGGCAGCTTCTGGAGAATTCCCTGACTTCTGTTACCCTCTGCCTCCCAGACTAAGGCACCCCAGTGACACTGGTACCTCATTGCTCTGCAACCGGTTCACTGTGGCCTCCTCCTCCCACTGCAGCTTTCCATCTGTGCAGGGGGAACACAGTGCTCCAGCTTAACTCCAGGGTCCCTGCCCCCCTCTTAGTCCCCTATGATTTCCCTCCTCCTGGAGCAATGACAATTCAAAATGCCTGTAGGAAATCTGGCACACAGAGTCTGGGGCTTTAAACTGTCCCTGAGGTAGAGGGAGGCAATCTAAGACTAAAGGAAATGGCAAGGCCAACCAAGGGACTAGAGGGAACGAGTGACAGAGGCAACTCTGAAACCCTCCCACCCTCCTCCAAGGGTCCCCACCCATAATAATGCTGCGAGGGAAGCTTGGTAGGAAAGTTCTCTAGCTTGAAAAAAAATGCAGTGAATCCCCAAGTTCAATGATCCAAAATTGCTGGGGAGACTCTCTGATGTGGTGCCTGCAGGCCAAATATGGTCTAGGGGCTGAGCTCCTGGTGACCAAAGCTGAATGAGGGGAAAGGCCTCAGGGTGGCTGCTGCAATGGCAACCCTCAGTCATACCTTCCATCACTCCAGCTCCATCATGGGACCCTACAGACTCTCATAATCATATGTTCCATAGCTGAGGAGACCCCAGGGAAGCTGTGAGGTTGTGAGATACCCCTTCCTCCATGTATCTTTTCTATATGGGGAAAATTTATCTCCAGGCTGACTCCTCTTTAACAAACAAGATACAAACTTCTTATATTTGTTCAGAATACTCCCCGAAGCAGACAGTGCAGGGGGGGGGGGCATAGTCTGCCTGCCTCACTTACAGATAGAGAAACTGAGGCTCAACTTGCTAGTGTAGTCACAGTGCCAGAGATCTTCCACCTTCCAGTCCCAAGATCTTCCTGCCCAGACTCTCCAGCCCAGGTAGGTACTCACCAGGACCCCTCTCAATGAACACCACCTTGGAGTCTGGCAGGAAGTTGGAGCCAGTCAGTACTAATTCTTCACCTCCTCTCACAGAGCAAGCACTGGGGCTGTAGGCCTCCACCTGTGGCAGCTCCTGGGCAGAGCGCTGGGCTGCAGAGTGGTGCAAGGAAGAGGCTGGTCTGGGCTGAGCATGGAGAAGATGACCTCCTGTGCCAGCCCCTTTGGAATACCTGTCACTGGCCCTGGGTGAGCTCACTCCAGTGACGGAGATACAAGTAAACCAACAGTATTCATGAGTTCACGTGGACTGTGTAAGGGACCAGTCCTCGAGAAGAAACAGTGAACAGAATACACCAGGGAGTTACCCAAACAAGTGCCCAGGCCACCTCAGGCAGATAGGAATCAGGGTCACTCCGGACCAGCCCCGAGAGTGTCTGTAGCGGGCACAAACCACATCCCCACCCTCACTACTCCCACAGTACTCTATAGGGGTACCTGGGGCAGACAGGGCACAGAATACTATGCAGAGGAAATGGGTTGGTGACAAATACACAGACAAAAGAGTTGTACGAGACAGACAGATGTCCAAAGCCTCTTTGCTCACAACACTCGATGGGTACTGATGCTGCCTGCACAGAGACGACCTTCCCAGCGCCCTGGGGTACGTGCACTCGGAACACCAGCCGAACTCGTGTGTTTTTTCTCCCGATGTCTGTCTCACCCTTCCGAAGCTCAATGTCTGAATTCCGAAGCTTCAGGATTCCAGCACAGTCAATGCTGAGGGCAAAGAGTAGATGGGAAACCCTCCTAGCTAGAATAGTGTTACATCCCCTAAAAGATGAGCCCCACCCTCCATCCAAAGCCCTGAGGCCTTCTCTTTTTATTTTTTTGGTACGGGAAATTGAACTCAGGACCTTGCTTGTGCCACTGAGCTATATCCCTGGTGCTCCCTGAGACCTTCTAAGGGTGCCTGGGAAGACTATTTTCTGACCCAGAGATGGCCTCAAATCCTTTTCTAGATGGTGAGAAGGCTGAAAACAAGCTTCTGAGGACTATGTCTAGCTTCTTCTGGACCAGGAAGAAGTACGCTTCCCTGGTCCTAACTCAGGCAGATGAGGGGCAGCAACACTTACTTGGCAGCCATGTTGTTCTCAGGAAGCAGGGTCATCTCCAACACTTTGGTACCACTAACAACAGCTTCGTAGCTGGCTGTAGCTACCATCTTTCCCGTGATACGGTGCACTTGATAGAAGGCATGAGGCCGCAAGTTTCTTTCATCTGCAGTGCCGATGAACATCTGGAGGGTCAGCGGCTTCTCACTGTAGCCTAGGAGCTGGCAGAGAGAGATAGACAAGAGACCATTTCATTCAAAGTCTCAATGTTTCTTCCTTCATCCATTCCTGGATTTTCAATCCACCAGGGGTTGGGAATGGTGAAAGATAAAGCATATCCTGGAAAGGGATTCTCCAGGGGAACTGGGTATCAGCTGTGGAGAAAACGTGGCCTGGAGTTCACAGCGTTATTCTTGGAATAAAGCTCAAACTTGGCTGGACAAAGGAGAAAGAGCCTCCAAGAAAGACTGAACCAACTCAGTATAGAGAAAACCTAACTCCCAAAGACCTTTGGCCTCAATTGAACCCCTCCCCCACATCTGGCAGGCCACCATTTTCCAGAGTAGACATGAGACTGGTGTCCCATGGGATGAGTCCAGTGGGGGTGGGAGGATAGAAGAGCAAAAATTATATCCGGGTCCTTGATGCACACCCTTCCTCCCCCAACTCCAGCCCCTCCCCCAGGCTGCCTGCAGGGTCAGAGCTGAGAGGGAGTGTGGGAAAGGGCAGTGCCATGGGTCCATACAGCTAGAGCCTGTCTGCAGGGATCTGGGATGGGAGATGAGACAGACTATCAGGTTTGCCCTCTGCCCCTTACCTTGACCACTGGATGACCACCAGGAGCAGCTTTGACGGCTCCTCGGCTGCCCTCTGTCTCATAGTGAGCCCGGTGGTGGGCTCTAGGCTGCACCTCAATCCTCAGCTCCAGCTGCTCATACTGACTAGGCAGAGGCCAGTCCAGAGGGGGCAGGGCAGAGGTCCTGAGTAGAAAGAAGAACACGGATCATCTGCAGCCTCATCCCAGTCAGAACCATGCTAAATCTGTGAGTATGGGAGAAAGAGAAAATCACAGCAGCTTTCAAGTTCAAAAGCCCAGAAGCAAGGGGACAAAGCCCCTTGAGATGAGGATGTGGATGATGACAGTACCCTGAGATTCCCTTTGTTCCCAACTCTGAGTATAGGGTTTGGGGATGGGAAGGAAGACAAGCCCACCCTAATCCCCTGACTTGGACAGGCAGAAAAATGCAGTGCCACTTCAGACCAGAAAAGGTGGTAGGCATAAACCTCATTGTTTTACAAATAAAGAAGCTGAGACAAGTAGCCACTGACAGAGCCTAGAACTGATCACTTTCTGCTCCCAGGCCAGCTCTCTTTCCACTAGTTGAGGCTGGATGGGTAATGTTCCAAGGAACTTAAATGTCTCAAGGTGACTTTTCTTGTTTTGCTCCCAGATACCCCAGGCCAGCAGATTTTCTGGTAATTAACCCTCTCCAGGTGCTATTTGGCACATCTGGAGACATTTTTTAATGTCATAACTAGTGGAGGGTATTACTAGTGTCTAATGAGTAGAGGCCAGGGAGGCTGCTAAGCCATGCTACAGCTCAGCCCCACAAAGCAAATTACCATTGAAGATATCAGTAGTGCTGAGACTGTGAAACCCTGTCCTATGGGAACCCTGTGTTCTCTGTTCTTGGAGCTTCTCCTGCATGAAGTCAGCTCAGACTAACATCTCAGGATTCAAGGGATTTTTTGTTTGCTGGTTTGTTTGGTTTGGTCTGGTTTTTGGACACAGTCTTGCTATGTAGTTCGGGATGGCCTTGAGCTCACTATATAGCCCAGGTTGTCCTCGACTTGTGGGAATCCTCCTGAATCAGCTTCAAAAGTCCTGGGGCTAGAGGTGTGTGCCACCATGCCAGGAAGGGCTTAAGGCTATTGAAGCAGGCAGTATTCTTGGAGAGTTCAAGGGGTAGAACTGCAAGTTTGCAAAATACAATATTTATTTATTTATTTATTTATTTATTTATTTATTTATTTATTGTACTGGGAATTGAACACAGGACCTTGTGCTTGCCAGGCAGGCCCTTCTGCATTTAGGCTTTTAAATCAGCAGGTCAGGTTCTAGCAATTAAGAGTTAGACAAAGGAGACTTCTTGTAATATAATAGGGCTAGCACTTTGCTAAAGGGCCAAAAAGGAAGGCTGAAATCTAGCTCAGATTTGTACTCTGCCACAGGGCTGCGCTGGTGCCTGGGAGACCCTGTGGGACTTGGTCTTTACCTAGCTGGCTCTCCTAGAATAGTGGGGAGGAAACTTTTTCTGATTGGCCCACTTTTGTATTGTCCTTCTGTGAATTGTCATTCTAAAGAGGTGCATTTTACTAGTTCGGTAAAAAGGAGATGAGCAGCAGGAGCTCCTTCCCTCTAGTTCTCTTTTGAAATTTGGGAAGGAACTAGGATCTTTCTTAAAACTGGTCTTCGACCCTGCTGCTGCCCCAGGGGGATAGGAAGAGCTGTGCTGCTAGACGCAACCCTCACCTGAAGATGGGACTGTGTCCCCCAATCCGAGCCTTGGACCAAGCCATGGGAGACGGCACTGCCAGGTAGTCCATGCTGGCCACCTCCTTCCGGGGACCCCCAGGAGGAGCCACAGCCTCCTCAGCTCCCAAAGGCAGCTTTCCATTGCACGGGCCAGTCTCCTCAGATCGAGGCAGGGCCACTGCCTGCTCGCTTGAAGTTCGCCGGGTCTTCTGGGGAATACTCTCAGCTGGTGGGGCCCCCACGTACTCAAAGGGGCCAGGTGAGCCAGGGTCCCGGGCCAGAGGTAATGGGGGTGGTGGAGGTGGCTCAGGCCCCTCTTCTCCCAGGCTACCTCGGCGGGACAAGGCTGGAGAAGCTGAAGACGGGGTTCCAGAACTGGAATAGCGCCGTTTGCCACAAGGAGAGGCAGGCCGGGGAGAGGCTGGGGTGGGCCCAGGAGCGCTGAGGAGTAGCCAGCTATCCTCAGGCCCCCGGCCTCCAGGGCTTGGACCGTATAGGCTCCAGGGATCCTCCGGAGTCCATGGCCTAGGGGACGCTCGGGGCGAGGGCAGCGGGGAGCCCAGGCCAAAGCGGGAGGCTGCTTCGTTCAGCTCAGACTCCACCTCATCACACGCCGCATACAGGGCTGCTTCATCCGAGGCATCGGAGAAGAAGCTCCAGGAGGACAGGCTGCTGCTGCCAGGGCTGGGACTGAAGAAGGCGCCCCCGCCCTGGGCTCCTGCCTCTCGGTAACCCCCAAAACCTTCTGGTGGAGGATAATCTCTGGGGGAGCCATCCCCCCAGGCATCAGGGTTATCCTCTAGTGGGGCCGGTGGGTCAGGCGTGGGAGAGATGGAGGTGATGCGGATGCTGGGACATTCGAGAACACGGCCGCCACAAGCACCCCCAGTACCCCCGCCTGGTCCCCCTAGCCTCACAGACCGGGCAGGCTGGCTCTCCCAGGTGCCAGGTGAGGGGGCTGGGCGAGGCGGTGGCGAGTGCATGCCAGGTCGAGGGGGTGGAGGCCTGGGAATGCCAATAGGGGAAGCGCCATAGGGAGGGGGTTCCCCCAGGGCTAAGTGGCAGCATGGCGGGGCATCCTCTGAGTCCAGCTCTGTCAGTGGGAGGGGTAGAAGGAGATGGAGAGAAGCAGGTAAGACATCTGGGTTTCTGCTGTGACCAGCCCACCCAAGCCTGGCTCTGCTTCCCTTGCCCCAGTTAGGAAGGATCTCTGAAGAGCCCTTCAAAGCCACAAGGCAAACAAAGTTGGAAGTCAGAAGGTGGAAAAGATAGATGCAGGCGTGCCAGGCTTTTCCCACTCGAGAATCTCACATTCTGATCCCAGGGCTCTGGGACCTCGGGTACCAGAGGGGGCGGGTCCTAAGGTGAGGGAGGTGGGTTGAGAGAGGCTTCAGCCGGGCCTGGGGGCGTGCTTAGCAAGGCTTTGGGCTGGGCTAGGGGCGACTCACACATGAACCCAATTAGCAGCGGTTCCCAAACCCCCAAATGGAGCTGGCAGAAGCCCCAGTTGCCATCGCAACCGTGCCCCGAGGCTGGAGGGGGGGGCCTGCGGCTGCGGTGACGAGAAGAGGTGACTCCTCCCTCGCTCCCCCTAGTCTGAGGCGAGGGTGCAGCCATAGGGGCGAAGCGTGCCGGGCCTGGCCGGGGAGGGGGGAGCAGCGGGCAGCGCGGATTTCGTGCGAGCTGCGGCCGCCGCCCCCGGCTCGGTCCCCGCCATCTGCCTCCCACTGCGGCCAGACAGGGGAGGGGGAGGGGCAGCCCAAGAGCGCCCCCAGCCCCGGGCGTCCAGTCTGCTGTACCAAGGCTCTCACCGCGACCCGCAAGCCCCAAGGGCAAGCCTTCCCTGCCCCAGGCTGCGCCCCCGACTCTTGGGACCGCCCCCCCTCATCCCAATGACAGTCGGCCTTGCCGAAAGGCGGCGCGCAGCCAGCGGCACCCTCACCCCCGCCCCAGTCAAGACCTAAAAAGGAGAAAGTGGTGCTCAGGCCCCCAGCCTCACTTCCGTAGACCAGCTAGCCCCCCGCTCCTCTTTTCTGACCTATTCATCCCCCTCCCCTACATTCTTCAGGCTCAGGATCCGCAAGCCTTCCACTCGCTTCCCAAGACCCCTTCCCAGCCCCGCACTAACCTTCCCCCGACCCCCCCGCGCCCAGCGGGGGGGCCTCCTTTTCCTCCCCGAACACCAGCTTAAATTCCAGCTCCTCATCCTCGCAGCTTGCCGCCCCCATGGGTCCGGCCAGAGCCCCTGGGTCACAGGCCGGGCGGGAGGGGGTGCGCAGGAGGCCGCCGTATCTTCACCAGAGTGACTCCCTCCCTCCCTTTCTCTGGGACGCCCCCTCCTCCGTCGCTGTCGCCTCCCTCCGGACGCCCCCTCGTAATTATAGAAACTTTTCCAAACTTTTTTCCCCCAAACTTCTTCAAAGTGGCCCCCCCGCCTCCCTCTGATTGGCTGCCTGGGATGCTCCGGCCCCTCCTCCAGGGATGAGATGGGAAAACCACGCGCCCCTTATCCCCCCTCCCTCCTCCTCTTCTGTCCCTCCCCCTCCAAAAAAAAAAAAAATTGAATTGGGAAACGGTCCCTTCAACCATGATATGACCCTAGTGATGCTTATTGGCCCGAAGCTGTGGCAATCATTGCCCGCAGGGAGCCCGGCCCCTACCCTACCTAGTCTCAATTTGGGGCTCCGAGTTGGAACGCCTTAAAGAGGCCACTTTCAGGGTCCTGTGCAAAGGGCCCACGGAGGACCTTTTGGCTTGTGTAGCCAGCATCAATCTTGGAAGTACCACCTCTCTTCTCCATTTCCCCCAAGCCTTGGATCCAGCAGGCTCTGAGGTGCAGAGGTTTCTAGAGTGCTCTGAAGAGGAAAAGGCCATTCCTTCCCAGTCACTCGGCGAGGCCGCTCTGCCTGCGCCTTCTGCCCTCCCAGATCAGCACCTCCCGCCCCGTCCTCTGAAGGGGAAGAACTTCTAGCCAGTCTGCGACCCTCTGAGAGCCGCCTGAGCTTGAAGAATAATTTGAAGACACACAGCCCTTGATGGGCGGAGGTCCAGGCCGGGCTTTGCAGCCACCCTTGCCCCAGCCACCCAGAGGGACCATTAATTAGCCTCCACGGGAAGTCGGCTCCCTCCTCCTAGTACTGTAGTCTGCACTGAATTACTGATCTGAGTGCTTCTCAGTCCGGCTCTCCAGAAAATCCTAGCCAGGTTTACTAGAGCGCCCGAAGCCTCGAAACCTGGTGGGCCCCCGGGCTGGACACCTGTCACCTGGGCAGGGAAGAACCGAAGACCCGGAATGGAGTTTACAGGAAGGACAAACGTGAAGGGGGCCCCAGGGAGTTCAAGAGGGAGTCACACTGGAGATTCAAGGCTCAGACCAGAGTGGTTGGGAGGCGGGGGAAGGCGATCGCTGCGCCCCACCCCACGCACACCCGCGGCTTCCGACTTCTCCGGCGGGCCGTAGAGACCTTCAGTCCCAAAATCCCTCGGACTCCGGGCCGCACCCCCACCAGCGCCCCGGGCCCAGCACCCCAACAGTTAAGCCAGGGCCCTCGGGTCAGACGTTTACAAACACTCGGGAGCCAGGCGGGGACCGCGCCCGTTACTCTAATGAGAAACAGGCTCTGGGGGCAGAGAAGGGGGGCTGGCCCGGCGGGGCGGAGGCGGTTCCCCTCCTTCCCTTCAGTCCTCCCTCGGGCCCGCCCAGGGGACCCCCCCAGCCCCCGGGGACCCCAGTGACGTGCGGAGCGGCCCCGGCTAGAGCCCAGGACCGCGATTCAGGAGGGGCGGGGAGAGAAGAATGTCCCGAGGCCGCGCGTTGGGTTTGGTTTTTCTACCCCCCCCCCCCGCAACTTTGGTTGGTCTCAGGTTACATTTCCCTTTCAGCCTCAGCTCGGAAATAAAGGAGAGACCTACGGGCAGGGCGCGCGGGAAACACCCGGAGACTTTTCACCGGCCGGCACCTGGGAAGTGAGGGGCGTAGGAGGAGAGAGGGAACGAGACGGGGCAACGGGTGGAAGCCCAGAGACCCAGACCTGGGCCCTGCTCCCCATCCCTACCCACTTTCTGCACCACCCCCCGCAGCACTAGCGGACGTGCACATTCTTTTCAAATGTCATATTTCCTTTGATCCTGGGCAGCGTTTCTCCATGTGTCTGGCTCAGCTCCTGCCTAGCCAGCCGCCTCCCCTCCCCCTTTCTGTTTTCCTGGAGAACCCTCCCTCTCCCGGCATCTGGAAGGCCCTGAGGGCTGGCGTCCGCCCTCCTTTCCCCGGCCTCTCTGGCCTCTCCTCCCAGTGACTCAATTTCCCCTCTGCGGTGTTGAGGGTTGGTGCGGAGGGAGGGAGCGGACGGAGGGGTGAGTTGTTTAGCTCAAATGTAGTACAGAGTTATGTTCAGCGCACGGGTGGTACAAACGAGCCCCGATATTTCCGAGCGTGGAACCTCTTCCCCGAGCGGCAGGCGGGTGTGGGAGGCATCCCACGAAGGATGAAAACCCACTGATCTGTCTGGGCCTCGCCAGGGCATGGAACAAATGACTTCTGAAAAGTCCTGCCTGGCGCTGGAGCCTCGGGCGGAGTGCATAGGGTAGGTTCAGATTACCTTGCGCTTACTTCTGCCCCCTGGCGATCGCACAGATGAAGCCGACCTTGCTCTGGGGTGGTTCTGGGCCCAGGCCTGGGTCTTTGCTCCGCTGCCCCCTAGCGCACGCATCTGAGCACGGTTCGCTATCGCCTTGGCTGCTGGCCTCTCTACTTTCTGCTGTTACCTGGGTGACAAGCATGATTCAATGGCTTTGGGAGGGGACATTATCTTTTCTTAATTACACAAGATACATCTACCTGGTAAACAATTCAAGCCGTTCAAAATATGTAGCAAACTGTCATAGTTCATGGCTTTGTGTACACTTACTACGTACGCGCACCCACACAAATGCTTTTTCAGTACCCCTGATATCATGCTACAAGAACTTTTCTTGGCTTGGTTTTGTCCCTTCACTTAATAAATGGCACATCTGCAAATGGTGATTAAAGTGCTCACCTTTTTGGTTAGTAAGATAAAGTGACTTCATAATTCCAATCAGGCACGGGTCTGGAAACAAGCCTCCTAGTCCTTTTCCAGTGCTAATTCACTACACCACATTTTATGTAGCATATTGTCCTGGGTTTGGCTTACCCAAACACAGAGCCTGAGATGAGACCCAGATGCAAGTAGTTTACAGTAGGAAGCAATCTCAAGGAACAGAACAGGAGGAATGCAAAAAGTGCAATTGGAAAAGGCAGAAAACATACCAAAGGTATGGTATTGAACTGGTTACCACTCTGAACAACTGAAACATTAATCCACTTGGGACCTTCTGTGGAGCCATTGGAAGGTGAAGTGAGCCACCCCAAGTCGAAAACTGCCCTGTGACTGTGAATTCCTTCCCATTCCGGATTTACACAAATGTCTGCGTGATAAATTTCCCATGAAGCACTTGGGCAAAAGACTTAAAAGCCAGGAGCTGTAGCTGGGATCCAGCACCCTCAAGTGACAGATTCAAACTGGTGCTTGCTTAGCAAGAGCTACAGCAAAATGATGGTGAGAAGTGTGTGAAGCCAAGTATTCTATACAAGTTCATTTATTCAAATAAAAAATTTATATCGAAGAACCTGTATTGCCAGAGACAGTTCGAGGAATTGGGTCCACACAAGCAAAGCCCCCAAAATTTGCCAGTTTTTATCAGGTTGGAAATATGGTTTACTCTTGCCATCTCCTTTATCCCCATAACTACAAACTCATCAATTATCCTTCTTACCACTTCCTCATTACTAGCCCAGCGCAGACCCTGAGTTTTCTGACATAGATGCTCAGTAGCCTGACATCAGTGGCATACCTTACTGATTTGACAAATGAACCATATCATTTTCAAAGCCCTCTTGTCTATAAGAAAAAATATTTTCAGCTTTAGTTATGATATGAAACATAACAATGACTATAAAAGAAATGTAGAATATAAAACTTCAGTTGAGCTAATATAAAATGTCAGGTAATTATGGAAAAGTAAAGGATTGATCATTACTATTATATTAATATCATTTTTGTTTAGAAAAAGAGAAAACAGAGTTTCATCCTCGTCTACCACAGAGCTAAATAATGACATTACAATTCCTATCTTTTTTAGAAACTCATCAGTGACCATCAAAATTCATCTTCATATGTGTATCTTTAATAGACTGTATAGACAGATTTATCGCTCTATCTCACTCCTAGTTGATAAAAAAAACTTTTAAATCATTTTATTGAGTTACCATTGACATAACCTCTACATAAGACTAATCCCTTGACCTATTCCCTAAGGCCTGTTTTTACCCACTGCTGAGTCTGCACATCCTCCCTGTACTACTTGTCTCTCTACTACCACTCTTCTTTACAGCCTCAAGTTATCCCTCCTAATAAAAGAAAAAGTAAAAACATCCCCTTTATTATCAGTCTTAATAGCAGTTTATGCTCTCTACTTCTTTTTTTTTTAAATGTATTTGTTGTTACAGGGTCTCACTACACTGCTCAGATTCATAGTAATTCTTCTATCTTCAGCCTCTCTAGTGCTGGGATTACAGGCCTATTCCACTAGGCCTGCCCTGACTCTCTGTTGCCTGCTCATCCTGCCCTGGGGGGGAGGGACTGGTGTGCCAAGTGGTGCTGGGATTGAACCTTGGTCCCTGGGTTTGCCTAAGCAGGTGCTTTAGTCCACTGAGCTATCTCACTGGTGCCTATGCTCTCCACTTCTACCTCTTCAGATCTACTCATTCATTAACTCAAAACATAAAACTCCTATCTTGATGGTCATCAAAGTCCTCCTTACTACAAAATTCCTTGGAATATGTAAGTTCTTGCTCTGATTTTCATCTCTAGAAGATGTCCCTGAACCACACATCTATTTCTGAGTTCAGCTGTGATAGTTCACCTGCATGGTCAGCATGCTACCTGCACTTTCACGTTCTGCTCTACATCTCCATTGAGAGAAACAACACCAACTGTAAGTGCATATAGAGAGAGGTTTGTTAGAAGAAATTGGCTCACATGATTATGGATACTGACAAGTATCCACATCTACATTTGTGGGCCTACAGGTTCGAGACCCAAGAGAGCCAGAAGTGTACTGCGGCTGATAGCTGGAGAACTTCTTCTTGCTGGAGGAGAATGGTTTTGTTTGTTCTATTTGAGCCTTAAACTGATCGGGTGAGGGCCACCTACAACATGCAGGGCAGTCTGCCTTACTTAAATTTCACTGGAACATGCCCCAAGTTGATACATAAAGTTAACCATCACAAGGTTCTTTTCCATGTAATAGGAACTTACTCATCTCCTCATCCTCTCAGATACAAACACAGCTAGGAAATGCAAGAGAGTTAGTTCCTCCAGGTGAAATCCTCAACCAATAAGTTCATATATTGGTAGATGAGTGTGTCAACTTCTCACATTTTGTGTGAGCAGTAGTAGTTGAAGTTTCTACTGTAATGGAGCCACCATCACCTATTGTATCA